ATTTTATGCTTTCAACGTCCTGAATCCGAAGTCCGTTTCGCCAAATTCAAACCCGGTAAGCCGTCTTTCACTGATTTATCACCCGATTCGATCCGTTTATCGTAATTAAGCTCCGTTTCTGATATAATTTATGTTGATATGTATCTGAGGAATTATTGGAAGTTGAATTGAAGATCAAAGGCGTGCGAATGGAATTTTTATGGTCGATCAGTATTGCACGGAAATCGAGATAATACTTTACTACCTCTTTATGCTTTATGGAACATGTTGATATTGGTAAATGCATGAATAAGATAATGTGGTCACTTTTGTGGAGTTGAATAATTTATTCACTCGATATGAATGTAGTAGAAATTCTGTAACTGAATACGGATCGAATGACTAATATAAGAGATTGAAAGATTGTTAGAATTAAATTACAAGTTTGTGAATAGTGATAAAGAAATCAGACATGGATTTGTAAATTATATTTTATATCATCAAAGGTTAAATGTTAAAGGTACTTGGATGGGAAATTATAAGAATACTTCGGTATGGTAAAAATACGAAATTACCCTTATATTGGAAAATGATAAGAATTGTCCCTAGAAATGGATTAATAAATCTGAAAAGACATATTGATACGATAAATATATTGATGTGCATAAGAAATGATAGTTGTACTTAGAAATTATGGATAACCAGTTTTTAACCCCAAGAGGGTTTATGCAAGATACTAGAAGTATGTTAAGGGAATTATTTCAAGATCAGAGAGTGTTCAAGAAAGCAATTAATCATAGGATCTCTGAAGTATATTATTTTCGTTAAGAGCTAATATCGAACTTATCTGGTTAAGAAATTACGAAAATGCCCTTAAGAGGTAGAATAGTCTGAGATGACTCTGAATGAGAAAATACTTAGAGGATTCGTACTTAACTCGATCAAGTACGTATTTAATTGTTAAGATCCTGACTTAGTGCAGGAAAATTTCTGATATTCCGTTTGTAAAGTCTGAGAAGACACTTGACCTGAAAATATTCGAATAATGAGTAAATACTTGAAGAGTAATTTATCGGGGGTATTCTGCTGTCAAAATTGTTCGAAAGGACTGAAGTAAATGATAAGATTGAATTAAATAATAAGATCGGATGGAAGGAAAAGATTGAAATACCGTAGATCTGTAAAATGACCAAAATAACCCTGTAATGGAAATGACCCAAGAATATCACCAAGCTCAGAAATGATTGGATATCCTCGAGCTCTGAAATGAATGGAATAAAACTGAATACCAAAAATTACAAAATAACCTTATGGTCTAAACTAAGTAAATGTCTTGGATTAATTAAGGAATCCAAGTAAGCATAGATATTGGACTACCTTTAAAGGTAATGGGAAACAATTTAAGTGAGTAGATCAACCCTAAAACTATGTCAATACCTGAATGGCATAGATATTACTGGAACATGTGTTCGTCTTCTCAAGTTTGGCTCGATGATAAATTTTGGAAGTATTCAGCTCAGCCCATAGATTGTATTCAGTACTAAGAATTGGACGTTTGTTCGACAATCAACCACGAAGACCAAATTGAATGGAATGGAAGTACAACATGTATCTGAAATTCAGGAACGTTTGAATTACTCTGGAAAATCCTGAAGTAACTGGAATGGAGATGACTGCTAAATGAAATAGGTAACCTCAATGACTGAGTATTTAGTAAGTGATTTGGATAAGTCTGGAAACTCTGATGAGTTTACGTAGTGTACAATTACAATGGGTTATGAACAAATTAATCAAGTACGTCAGCATTTCATGATATTGTGGAAGTGTGGAAATGAAATAAAGACATTGGAAGATATATTCAACGATGATTCCGAAAATGGTCTATGGACAAGAATTGTGGTATTACAGAGTAAATACCCTAGAAGAACAATGAATTGACCAATCGACAGGCATTAGTTCTAGGAACTATTCATGTAAGAGTTGTCTGATAATCCGATCAATCGACATAGAATATAAATGTCCTGAACCTTCATTTCTTCCTTATCAGCTCAAGTCACATTCTGAATAACTGATGATTCTGTCAGTCATTGAACTCTTCCAATAGTGATTCTGAATTCCGATATTCTATCGGTATACTGAAGATCTGTATTCCTCTACTTGTTAAGATTATCCAATATCTTTGAATACTATCTGTAAATTCTGGTGTGTTCCATACTCACATGAATATTTTATCTGATTTTCGATTTGAATTCTGATCTGATACTTGACATGGATTCTGATCTGATATCTGACATAGATTCTGATCTGATACTTGACTTGGATTCTGATATGATACTTGACCTGGATTTTGATATGATACTTGACCTGATTTATGTTTTGATTTTTGATATATCCGTTTACGGACGGACATATTTTACTTGGGGGGTAATGTTGGAGGAAGTATACCTGGAGGCTCCTCGGCTGTGTGCTCAGGGCCTTATTTATCGGTTCCTCGGCTGTGTGCTCAGGGCCAACTGGTCTTGATGGTGGGTGTATGGTTCTGGGGAACCTACACAATTTGGACTTGTTGGATGGGGGTATATATATATATATGTTTTAAAAGATCCGTATCTTTTTACTGGTTTTATGGGAACACACTAGAAAACCTATTATGATCTCCTGAACCTAGACATCCGAAATATTTCCTTCTGAAATGAATACTATTTGTTACTACCTGAAATAACCGTAGAATCTATGCTCAATATAAAGATCTGTAAATGTCTGAAACAATAAGGAAATAAATATTTATCTGTATCTACACGTTCATCAGCATCATCTGGTAGTTCTGTATTACTGAGCTTTCCAAAACTCACTCTATTACTCACCTTTTCAGGTTAAAAGAATTGTACCAGTGCATCTATCGACTTCAGTAAGGGAGTTCTTCCGGCGTTGTAGCAGAGTATGGTACATGTGATTAGGGGGCATGTAATTGTATTTTGATTTATATACGAGTTTGGAAATCTGTTTTATTTTTAAATAGTAAAAACTGATTTTATAAGTTTACGTGTTCTGATAAAAAGTTTTAAATTTTATGCTATTTTTACAGTGGGTCACTCCGGTGGCCCTAATGTGACTTCCCGGATCGGATTGGGCTACCCGTATCGGTCTGGGGGTTACATCTAAACCATCCAAGATGTGTTGAGTTAAGATGTCTTGATATTTTTTTAATATTTAATTATATTTTTATATAAAATTATATATCATATATGTATTAAATATTTATCTTTGATTAGGATATATCTTTTTATAATTACAAACTTGCGAAAACAGATTACAAATTAATAACTTGGGACTTTGTGGGCTTGGATATACTTTAAGCTATGACGGAAGTATGACCTAATTTCCTATATAGGTATAACGATAGCAAATTTTGTGGTACTTTGTACTTCGATTAATAATTTGACAAATTATAACTTTTAATTAACAAAATAATCTTTCATTTTTACGTCTGAAATTTCGAATGATTTTTTTTAAATCCATTGATTGTTGTGTTTATTTAATAATTTTTACTAAATTACTATGCAGGATACCAACAATCAGTAGATTAGTGGGACAATGTACTATATAAATAAGGTCAAAGATTTGAATCTTAATGTTTATGAATGAAGCAAATTAGGTTGTGAGGGTCGCCATTATCTCCGCAATACTCAATCTAGATTAATCGATCAATAAATCAAATATGGGTGAGTATAATTTTTTTACTATATAGTATGTTTCAATGCAAATTTCAGAACCCTTTAAATGAAATTATTCAGCATAAAAAGTTTTACGTCAAGTCATAGAAAGTATTAGAATTTTTTTTTAAAAAAATGTAGGTGATAGAAATATTTAAGATCAAAATTATTTTCTATAATATATTTATAACTTGTCATGTGAAAATATTTATTTCAGTAAAATATAATAAATAATTAAAACTCGTCATATAAACATGACGAATTTCATATAATTTCCGTTCAACTCATATGACAAAATTTATTTTATAATATATTTTATGAAACTCATTGCGTGATCATAATAAATTCCACTTATACTCTAATAAATGATCTAAATCTTAAATTAATTTTTCAACACCTATATTTATAAAAGAAAAGAAATCCACCCACAATATATTTAAATTTTATTGGAAAGAATTAATTATAAATTTGTGATAAAAGTTGAATTATTTTATATGAAATGAGGGACAACAGTGGCAGAGGGTATCGACAAAATTTTGCGTCTGTTTCTTTCCTCATTTGTTCAGAAGCCATTAATGGATTAAACAATTATGTAGGAACATGACTGCAATTCTCAATCATGATTCCCGTTAGTTTGGATTGTATGGATCTTCAATTATTTTAAAAATAAAACCTTTTTCCAGTCCTAAAATTCTAGGGTAAAATAAATATTTACTCACTTATTACTTATTCATGTAGTTTTATTTTAGTTACTTAATTATTTTTCTAAGTCATATCTAACTTACGTATTTATTCTGTTTAGTCATCCGTAATTAACAAATAAATAGAATCATCAATGTGATGAAATTTTTATTATTTTAATGATAACTAATATGGTGACACATTAACATTATTATTTACTTTTTAACCATAAATGATTAAAACAAAATAAAAGTAACGTTAAATATGATTATAAATTCTTTACTCCGAATAACAAATTTTATTTATCTTATTTTCATCTGACATAGACACAGCATCCGATCCCAGAAACGTCGTTTACACCAACATTACTTTCCATATAAATAATTCATTTATTTGATGGCTAAAAAATGCAAAAAAGAAGAAGAAAAAATCAGTGGTCCACATACACATTTCGGAGCAAAAACTTCATTCAGTGGTCGAAAGAAACATTAAACCCCACCGCCTATTGTCGTAGCTTAACGGAACCGTTAGTAACTCTTGTACCGAAGAAAATTCGGATTTTAGTATCCACCCTCGGATACACGTGGTTCCGCCACTGCCCTCGCTTCCCCTATAAGTCGAGGAGAGGATGCTTCGAGTTTTTCATATGCTCTGGGTTTTCGTCTCCTAAATTCAATACATCTCGTGGAGTTTGCATTTTGCAATGGCTTTCGAGATAACAAATGAAATGCTGGTGGGCAGTTTAATGCCGGTTGTTGTTTACTGGGTTTATGGAGGACTGTACACCATGTTAGGCTACTCTTGTCACAATTACAGATTGCATCCCAAGGAAGATGAGGATGACAAGAATTTTGCCTCCAAAGAGACTGTCATCAAAGGAGTCCTTTGGCAACAGTTCCGTCAGTTCATTGCCACCAACATATTGTTTATGGTATGAATTGTTGCCAAGGGTTTGTTTATCAACTCTTTTCGTATGTTTTAATTGAATAATACTAGGGTAAACTACATATCCAGTCGCCTAACTATTGTTCCGTTTTGATCACCAAATGATTTAATTTTTTAAAGTCATCACTAATTGAATAATACTAGGGTAATGCTATATTATCATTGGAAAAATAAAAATGTCACATCAACGATTTTGTTAATTTTTTTAACTCTAGATGACTAAAATGTAACGTTAATGATTAAATAGTCACTTTGGTCTCTATTTCTTTTTGGATCATTTTGGTTCACAATGTTTCGTTTTTGGACAAAAAGGTCCATTCATAGATGGAAATCGTTAGTCAACAAATGGTTGGTACTCTAAAAAAAAAAGAATATAGGTCAAAGTGACTATTTAGTCAAATATTAAGGGCATTCTTGCTCTAAAATAAAACGTTAAAGGTCAAAATGCTCTAAAAAATATAAACCAAAATAATTATTCAATCAAATGTTACCGACATGTTTTACGATTATACCTATTTTTACGATAAAGTTAACGTAAGCAACTACGAAAACCCAACATAACTTATGCTCTTAAGTATAAAAACTACCTTTTTTAAATGTTAAAAATAACCAAGTAATCCACTGCAGACAAGGGAGTGATGAAATCACAATATATATTTCACCATTCCAATAGTGTTTACAATTATATTTTTATCTTGGTTTTTGTCACCCAATTTTTATCTAAGGTTTGATTTTTTGTTAACATGGTACAGCTGACAAGAGGAAACGATGCCGGAGCTTCTTCAGGGCAGTCAGCTTCCTTCTTTGTTATAGCAAGACAGTTTATTGTAGCAATGTTCGTATTCGATACTTACCAATATTTTCTTCACAGATACCTACACCAGAACAAGTTCTTATACAAGCACCTCCGCTCCAAGCATCACCGTCTTGTGGTTTCCTACCCGTTTGGTGCCATCTACAGTCATCCAATCGAGGGACTTCTGTTCGACATCATCGGCGGTTCGCTGGCCATCTTCATCTCCGGCATGTCCCCTCTAACATCAGCCTTCTTCTCCGCTTTCTGCAACATGAAATCAGTGGATGACCATTGTGGATTAGTGCTTCCCGGAAACCCATTTCAGTTCTTCTTTACCAACAACACGGCGTACCATGACCTCCACCACCAGCTTTACGGTGGAAAATACAATTTCTCGCAACCGTTCTTCTCCATTTGGGACAAAATTATGGGAACATATATGCCTTATGAACTTGAGAAAAGAGGAGGAGGAGGCTTCATGTTGAGGCCAGTTAAGGAGAACAAGAATTAATTACCACTGCTCCTACTATTGTGTGTATTTACTGCCAGATGGTCAATGTTTGCTTTTGTTTTTAATTACTGGTAAAAACGTAGCAAGCATGTTTAATGCTTATATCGGGAAAAAGAAAGCTTGTAAAGTAAATTTGGGTCTTATTTGTCATAAAACTAGCTACCTATTTAAGAAAAAAATGTGGGTCTTTTTTCTTATAAAATCAACTGTTTGTTTCAGTAAATACTTTAAACATTATTTGTCATTATTAGTATAAATAATAATAGTATGTAATTTACTTAAATACTAGCTAGTTTAAAGTTTTATAATTTAAATACTTTAAACTGAAATTAGAATTTAAATTTTAAGATTTAAAGATTAAGGATTAAGATGTTAGTGTTTAAAGTTTAGGGCATTTGGAAATATTTTGAATTAAACATCGGTATCCGATCTATTGATCAACTAACTTAGATTGGGTACTGTAGAGACAAGGGCGATTCTCCCAATCTAGTTTGCTCCATTTGCAAACGCCATAGTTTAAACCCTTAATCTTGTTAATCCATTGTTTAAACATAAAAAGAGGTCCTAACTATTTTATACATTGTTTTTTGAACTAAAATATTTCGATAATGAATATAATGCTAATCCATTTTATACTTATTAGGTCCGCTATACGAGGTTCAACATAAAAAGAGGTCCCTAACTATTTTTGTTGTCACATGTTAAGGTTAGTAAGGCCTACAATCTTGATTCATTATTAGTTTGTATATACCAAGTTTAATTCAAGATGATAGTTAATCTCATAAAGATATAGGGCACATATACTTCGGAAGCAACTTACTATCATACACAAAAGTTTTACTCTCACTTATAAATAACCTTCTTATCTTTTTCTATTACGAAAATGTAACCTTCTAGACTCAACTCAGATTTTATGACCAAACCTAAAAGGTTTCACTTATAATATCTAAAAATCTGAGTTGATAGAATTTGGTCTATATATGTGTATGATTTAGGGGTAGATATGGGTCGGGTTTTCATCCAACTTGACTCTACCCGATAAAAATACATCCTCCACTCAAAAATCAAACCAATTAGGTGACGTTTGGTTCGCTGGAATGTTTATGAGGGAATTGGAATCTATGAAAGAATTGAAATCTGTCAGGAATTGGAATCCAATTCCATATTCTGTTTGGTTGGCAGGAAATGGAATTGGAATCCAATTTCATATTCTGTTTGGTTCGCAGAAATGTCAAATGAATTTGATTTCAGTAATGTAAAATGACAGAATTGCCCTTCTTGTTTTTTTGCTTTATTTTAGTTTGTTTTACAACTTACATTGTAGTAATATATTATAAAAAATTAAAAAATATTAAATTTTCATTTTATTGATTGATTATTCATTTTAATAAATTATAAAAATCATGCTAATAAACATCATAAGTTAAAATCATCGCAATCAAAATATGTTAATAAGTTACCAAAAGATAGAGCAATATTTTGATACATTCCAATCGGAGTATGTTAATTAGTTACCAAAAACTATTTTTATTTAATATATGAATTAGAAACCTGACCCGAAACGACAAAAAATAATAAAAAAATATTTTTATTCAATAAAAATAATAAAAATATTGACTTAATTGAAAAAATTATATATAGAGGGGTATTATTGTAATTATTCCTAAATATATAAGGTAAAATTATATATTTTTTTTCGGGTCGGTCCGATTTTTTTTCACCCTAAACCCAAACCCGACCCGAATATCACACTTAAAAAAACCTGACCCGACCCGAATATCACACTTAAAAAAACCCGACCCAACTCGACCCGTATATCACATTTAAAAAACCCGACCCGAACAAAATAAATTTTCACCCGACCCGACCCGAAATAATAAAAAATTATTTTTATTCAATAAAAATAGTGACTTAATTGAAAAAAAATATATATATATATAGAGGGGTATTATTGTAATTATTCCTAAATATATAAGGTAAAATTATATATATTTTCGGGTCGGGTATTTTTCACCCTAAACCCGAACTCGACCCGACCCAAATATCACACTTAAAAAAACCGACCCGACCAAAATAAAGTTTCACTCGACTCGACCCGACCCGACCCGAATATATGAATTAGAAACTCGACCCGACTCGAAATAATAAAAAAATATTTTTATTCAATATATGAATAAGTTACCAAAAGATTGATGAGGGTAGTATGGTCAAATTTTAATTCCCTCCAACAAGGGAATTGAATTCCATACATTCTTGGATGGAATTCACTTTCCCTCATTTGATGAAAAGTTGAAGCCATGAGGGATTCCAATTCTCTTGAAAAACTTGAACCAAACATGGGAAAGTGGTGGAATTTGATTCCAATTCCTCTAATTCTAAGGGATTCCATCCAACCAAATGCCACCTTAGGGTTTAGTGTGACTTCACTTTACCCAAAACCCGACTTGTCTTTTGAGATAAAACCTGCACCCGACCTGATTCGACCCGAAACAAATATATATAAAAAATCTTAAATTTATTCAATAAAATAAGTATTTAACTGAAAAAAATACTAATTTATAAGTAAATTAAAAATAAATCTATTTTAATAACATATCACATCATCAAACTAATGGAATTAATACTTAGTGATCAAAATAAGATAGACAAAAATATAAATAATCAAAATTTAAAATTTTCAACCCCAATAATCAAAATAAGATAGACTGAAAATGAAAATGAGCAGCAATGTAGTTTATCCTTTCTTTGTTAGATATTTCTGAAAGAACCCACCGAAATGTGCTCCTTGTTATTGAAGCCCATAGTTTCCGTCTTCCTCCCCACTTCTTTGTTTCTTTTTCGAATCTTCTGCGACCTTTCCAACCCTAAGTAACAGCTGCTTTCATTATTTTATTCTACTTATTCCATTTCCATTTTCAATTACGAATTCCTCAAAGCATCATTTGCCCAGATATTATTAGTTTTTAATAAAAAAAAGTTTTGACTTTTATTTATGTTCATTTAAATCTTTAAATTTCGGCTGAAAGACTCAAACATTGAACGTCGTCGTTATTTTTGTTTTAAAAAAATCAGTTCATGTGATTTTGTTCGAGACTACTTTAGTGAAATGGGAATGGGTTTTGCTGTATCCGATGAATTGTTGGAAACTGTGGTTCCTATTGTTGTTTATTGGAATTATTCAGGGATTTATATGTGTCTAGGGTCATTTGAGAATTATAGATTGCATTCTAAAAGAGACGAGGAAGAGAAGAATTCGGTTTCCAAACCAACAGTGTCACACACCCCATTTTCAATTTAATTAATTAATTAATTAATTTTATGCACTAAACTATAAGTTTTTTAAAACTTTGGGTTAATTTTGAAAATATAAGAAGTTTAGGGACTTAACCCTAAATTTTCTCTTTTTTGGGTTGGTAGAGAAAATTTTAAAAAAATGAAAAAAATGCCGGTTGAGCTAGTTTGAACACAATGAACTAGGGGATAGCCACTCATCCCTCTACCATCTAGCCTATGTCACTATTTTTAAATAATTTAATAAAAATATATTTTATAATTTTGGTTTAGGGGTATAACTTAAAACCAAATATGTCAACCTTTTTCCATTCGTGAACTAACCCCCAAAAAATCTTCAATTTTTCCCTTAATCCCAAACGTCAACCTCCATGATTCACCCCGCTCCGACCGTTGTTGTAGTGTTCCGACACCACCAGTTGAACCGGAGTCCTCCCTCGACCCGTCCCCAACCGTCAAACCCACGAAATCGATCGTCGTTCGTCACGAAAGGCGTGAAGACAATTCTTTTGCTCCATCGTCGAATCTTCGCCTCCAACCATCGATGGTTGTCACCGCCAAGTCCAAACGACGCGCCTCGCCAGCCCGACCAAAATCCCCATGGCCGATCGTTATTTTCTGTCGTCGTTAGCCGTGGGGAGCCTCTCAAAGTTCGCCAGAAACCTAGGTCACGCGTCGGATTTTCACGAATTTCGGCCGTTCAAGGTGTTGGTTTGCCTCACTGCCAGAACCATTGAACGCCCAACTTTCGTGAGCTCAAAACCCAACCGGTGGGTCAGGTCGTAGCCGTCCTTTTCCTCCATCACTGGTGTGGGTAAGTATCTTAGACGTTTTCATTCATTTTCGTGGTTTCTAGTTAAAATGTGGAATGTCCCCCAACCTCGTCGTCACCGCCACACATCACAACGCATCGCCGTGTGTGCATGGGGGCCTTTCCCCGATTTTGAAACCTCCTAGAATTGGTTCGAGCCAACTCGAATCAGTCTGAGTCAACTCAGATCGAACCGAGTTTACTCGAACCAACGTGAGTCAACCTAAGTTGGTCTGACCCGTTGACTTTGACCTGACCGTTGACATGCCCATTAACCGTTAACTTTGACTAGTTTGACCGTTTACTTTGATCGAAAAGTCAACATTTTCAAAAAAAGTTATATTTTATGTTTTCGACGTCATGAGTTTAAATCTGATTTTTTTTTGCCAAATTCGAACATAAAAGCCTCTGAATTGACCGTTAAACCCGAATGTACTTTTGTAATTTAAGTATTCATTTAAGTGATTTAATTAAGTACATCCAATTTAATTGAAGGTCAATGACTAAATTATTATGTTGTTTAATTAAGGTACCAGTGATTCTCCTGACCGTTCGTTTGCTCGGCCCGGTTCCTCTCGACCCAATTGTCTGCGAGAGTCTTGATTACTCGTATAGTTCTGCAACCTCGTTAAATACTCAATTTATTGTACTACTCTGATAACAATTTTGTTCCGATATGACTTAGGTTCTCGTACAGTCAAAGAGCGTAGTAAAGCTAGTGTTCGATAGATCTATCAGACTAATTCTTTTTGCGAGGTGTGTTCCTTGTGTGCTATATGTATATATATATATATCTGTTTTAAATACTTGTTTGAAATATCATGTGCACATGACTGTTTTACCTGGTTTGCAATATGGCTAGCTGATATGATTTAATTTTGCATGATTTATATGTTTCAAGCCTGATTTTTTATTTACTAAAGTTTTAAGCTTGCTTGTCTGATTCATGTTCTCTGGTTACTATTTTTGCTTAATTGATATCTACTAGAACTATGA